CGTCACAACGAAATTGTCGAATCCCCATTACCTGCCAGAAATAGCCGTCAAAGTGACGTTATTAAATTTCATGATAACTCCGAACGGCTTGGAGGACCAACTTTTGGGCATCGTGGTAGCCAAAGAAAGACCCGACCTTGAATCCGAGAAAAATGCTCTAATTATTCAGAGTGCGAACAATAAAAGGTACGGTATAATTATAAACACCGTAGAATCGAATATTTCAGATGATGCCGAAAAGTGTTCTAATTACTCAAAATGTGAGTAATAAAAGGTACGGTCTAATTATAAATATAGATAAAATGGGGAGTTCTTCTCTGAGTAGGGTTGAAAAATTCACACCGTGTCCTTAGAAATAATTTAGATCAGATGATGATGATTCAGGATGCTGAAAGAGACCGAGGACAAGATTCTAGAGGTACTTTCTGTCTCTGAAGGCAATATTCTGGAGGACGAGGAAGCCATTGGGATCTTGACCTCGTCTAAGTTACTGAGCAACGAGATCGAAGTCAAACAGGCTGCAGCTGAAGTTACTGAAAAATCGATTGACGCAGCCAGACTGCAGTACACATCGATAGCTGTGTACTCGACAATTCTCTTCTTCACCATCGGTAAACACTTCTTGAAACATAAAGACGTCGAATCCCTCCATTATCAATTTTTTTCATGAATTTCTCAAACTTTAATTCTAATAAAAGTTTAATTTCTTTTCAAGAGATGTATGTAGGAGTATTTATGGATTTCTTTTGCAGCTGTATTGGCATACATCGACCCGATGTATCAGTACTCTTTGGTGTGGTTTGTCAATCTTTTTACAATGGCAATTGACAATACCGAACAAGTGGAAGACGTGGAAGCTCGTCTTAAAGACCTGACGAGGTACTTCACGTACTCCTTGTACTCCAATATCTGCAGGTCGCTCTTCGAGAAGGATAAACTCCTCTTCTCCCTCCTCTTGGTTATCAATTTGTTAAACAAACAAGACAAGGTACCCGCCGCTCAGTGGATGTTTCTTTTAACTGGAGGCGTTGGCCTTGAAAATCCATATGCAAATCCTTCGTCCTGGCTCCCAGCAAAACTTTGGAACGAGCTGGTCAGGCTGGACTCTGTTCCGGGATATAAAGTTAGTTGATAAGATTAAATTATTATCTATATCTGTACCTATCCATTATTATCTAGCATCGTTCAGAAAATCCTCAATTATTTATTATCCCGTATCGAATTATTATTTCAATCTGCATTGGTTTCACTCACTAGGTACTTTCTATCTATGCAAAACGCCAGAACATGAAATTCGTACAAATTTGGAAATTTAATTTTCTAGGGCATCAGGGAAGCCTTCACAAAAAGCACCGACGAGTGGAAAAAAATTTTCGACTCAAAGGAACCTCAGCTGAATATATTTCCACCCCCGTTCGACAAACTGGGAACCTTTCAGCGTTTATTAGTTGTCAGGTGTATACGTCCTGATAAAATGGTTCCTGCCGTGCAGAAATTCGTAGAAGGTTTTTAATACAATTATTTTCTTATTCCATCCTTTGATTTCCTAGTTCTTATCATTATTGTCTTTGCAGAGGAACTTGGACCCGAATATATCGACCCTCCACCCTTTGATTTAGCGTCCTCTTACGCGGATTCCAATTGTTGCATCCCTCTAATATTTGTCCTGACCCCAGGAGCTGATCCTGCTCAAGTATTATTAAAATTCGCTGACGATCAAGGTTTCGGAGCGAGCAGACTGTTCTCTTTATCATTGGGCCAAGGTAAACTACCTGGAATAATTGAATAAATTGAATACCTTATTAAAAAGGAAATACTTATCAACGCATGGATTTTTTCAGGCCAAGGACCAATCGCGGTCCAATTAATAAACGATGGCGTGAAGCTGGGCAATTGGGTGGTTCTCCAAAATTGCCACCTCGCCAAAAGCTGGATGGACACTTTGGAAAAGATTTGCGAAGGTCTCATCCCGGATACGATCCACCCTGATTTTCGTCTTTGGCTGACCAGCTACCCTGCCGATCATTTTCCTGTATCGGTCCTGCAAAATGGGATCAAAATGACGAACGAGCCCCCGAAAGGGCTTAGAGCTAATATTTTGAGGTCCTACTTGAGCGATCCTATTTCCGATCCGGAGTATTTCGAGGCTTGCAAGCAGAGCGAGCCTTTCAAAAAGCTCCTCTACTCTTTATGCTTTTTTCACGCCATCGTCCAGGAACGCAGAAAATTCGGCCCGATTGGATGGAACACGGCCTACGAATTCAACGAGACGGATTTGCGAATCAGTGTCCTGCAATTGCAGATTTTTCTTAATCAGTACGATGACGTACAGTTCGATGCAATTAAGTACCTCACGGGGGAATGCAATTACGGGGGAAGAGTAACAGACGAGTGGGACCGAAGGACCCTGAACACTATTTTGGCAAAATTCTATTGCAAGTAAGTGAAAGAGAACATCATCAAATTTATTACGAATTTTAATATTTACTTTTCATTCATCCGAATGAATTTCTTAGGGAACTTCTAGAGTCGGACGTTTACTATTTCGACTCGTCTTCGGATATTTATTACTGTCCCTCTGCGAAGGAATACGAGGCATTCATGGAATATACGAAAAAATTACCACTTATCACAGAACCCAGCGTTTTCGGGATGAACGAAAATGCAGATATAATTAAGGATCAGCAGGAGACTGATTTGCTGTTCGGTTCCATCCTCCTTACTCAGGTATATTTAAAAATTCTGTTAATTAAATTTCCGGGAGTTTAAATTTCTTCCTCATTCTCTGTATATTTTGTTCCATGCCCCTAGGACCGCACGGTAAGTTAAAATATAGTAATACATGATTAACCCCCCTATTAACAATTATTCATAATTTTTAACTTCGGTTTCACCATGGCCATTAGGATCTGTGGGAGCTAAAGGTATTTCATGATTTTATCAACAATCAATTTGCTGTCATTCATTCTTGTTAAAATGTTATCTATTATATTTTTTACATGTCTGAAATATAGATTCTAAAGGTAAGTCTGTACGTGTCATTAAATGTACTATATATACCGTGACGTAAGTAGAGGAAACCTCGGGTACAATTATTCTGCCTAAACTTTGTTAACATTCCCAGGAAACATCCAGTGCCCAAGGTGACCAAAAAACGGGAGACGAAATAGTATATTCCGTAGCCGGTGACATTTTGTCAAAATTACCAGCAGACTTTGATTTAATCAAAGGTATGGAAAAGTATCCAACCTCCTATAATCAAAGTATGAACACCGTCTTAGTGCAAGAAATGGGTAGATTCAATAAACTATTGCAATGCATCAGATCTAGTCTCGTAAACGTGCAAAAGGCCATAAGAGGTAATCCCCTCTTTCTGCAAAAATTAAATAAACGCACCAATATATATATACAAATATAAAACTAATTCCGTCCCCTGATTATTTATACAGGATTGATAGTAATGTCCTTCGAATTGGAGGAAGTCGAGAACGCGATGCTAACAGGAAGAATCCCAAAATTATGGAAGAATAATTCCTACCCATCTCTAAAGCCTCTAGGCAGCTACATCCAGGATTTCCTGCAAAGGCTGAATTTTCTCCAGGTTAATTCTTAACAATTAACATTTACTTCTTAGTACTTTATTCCCTGATTTACAGACATGGTACGACGAAGGACCTCCGACGACCTTCTGGCTGTCGGGATTTTATTTCACCCAGGCTTTTCTGACGGGAGCTAGGCAGAATTACGCGAGGAAATATGAAATACCGATCGACTTGTTGAGCTATGATTTCGTCGTGCTTAAAGAACAGATATTTCAACAGCCACCGGACGATGGCGTTTACATTTACGGGCTTTTCTTGGACGGCGCGAGATTCAACATGGCGGAGATGGTTTTGGATGAAAGCTTGCCTAAAGTGCTGTACGAGGAGGTGCCTTACGTATGCGAGTTTAAATTGCTAATAATACTGCCATTATATTAAGGAAATTTATGAAATATCCTGGCTGATGACGGAGAGTGGTAATTTTAATGCGCAGCTCTGGCTCGTGCCCAAGAAGAAGGACGAGATCGAGGAGCGAGAAATCTATGTCTGCCCGTTGTACAAAACCGCAGAACGACGCGGTGTGCTATCAACGACCGGACATTCAACCAATTTTGTCATCGCCATGTCACTGCCAACCAGAAAGCCGCAGGAGCATTGGATAATAAGAGGAGTGGCGATGCTTTGTCAACTCTCTCAATAAGCCAGCCGAGTACTTTATTCCCCTGCATCGTACCTACAAGATGACTTGCGTGGAATTTTCCAGAATTCCCAGTTTTATAGAGACGATAAACGTCGCGTAAGACAGCAAAAATGGCATAAAACCCTAACATCATAAAATCGAACAAAAATTCCACGCAGGTACCGGTTTCCAATAAAGACTTTTAACCATTATGTAAGCCATGCGTGATAAACATTGTGTAAAAATACATGAATTATAAGTATGTTGTTCAGCAGATCTCTTGTCGGGTACTTTTTAAGTGAGACTTCTTATGGGACGGTAGAAGATAGCTCGCATGTCACCAAACCGACTGAAAAAGTGAAACGCTTTTTCTTACAATAAATCATTATTTATATTCATCTCCGTGTTGTAATATTAAAAGAATATATATACGTAAATGTTTTCTTCAACGATTGCGTCATTCCCTTACTCAGCGACTCGCGTATAAAGTGGAATAAAGAATAAAAGCAATTGTGCCAAAAGTTACCACCAGTACGGGATGTGTTATATTAATAACATGTAATAATTCTCTTTAATTTAGAAATTTCACAATTCCAAGGTTTCTTTTCAGTGGGTCGATAAACCAGGCATCGCACGTGCGGCTGACGTAATGGCGCGCGATTTACCGACGGAGAGAAACATAACCTCTCCGCGCTTAGTGGTTAGAAAAATCGGAGCGGGTCGTCGCTCGTCGAGACACTTTGGTCCGTGGCCAACGGTGCAAGGAAGGTCCATTTAAAGATGGCAGCTTCTGCGCTGCTGGATCGTCGTATCACGTCAATTTTTCCTACTTCCGAGGGACTTTAGCTCGAGTTCGGAGCGTTCTGCGCCGCGGGAGGGAATTTAGGCTGAACGCTTACCAAATCTGCGGTAAAATGGTCGAGGACGCGTGAGGAAGCATGGATTGTCACCAGATATTAAGCGGGGCCTGCAATGCAGGTGATCGCTGCTACGCTGTCGGCTCCGTGGAGGGAATTTCGTTCACCGTGAGTTTTTCTGTAATTCTCTCCACGTTTTCAGCCGAAAGAAACTTTCTAGCATCCCGGAGAACTTCCAGCCACCTCGTTCGGCCAAAGTTGCGAAAACGCTATAGAAGGTTGACGCGAGAAATAAAAGTCAATAGGGGGCCTACTCGCGTACACTATGAGTAGTCAGCTGATCAAATGACATTTTTATACAATTGGGAAAATTGTCTCGACATAATGCCGCGCCAATAGACCATGTAACGTCGCTTGCTGTTCCAGTTTGTTTGTATGGGTCTCTTGATGATAAGCTCTACGTCGAAGGGGAGACCAGTGTTCCAGCATCTGTTGTTTTTGTTATGTTACGCTTTGCATGTCACTTACAGAAACGGCACGTTTTATGAGCGTATTATTATTTATGACATGTACAAGCGTGGATATTATTGGCTCTTGTGCTCGATGCGCAGTGACAAATCCAATTACTGGGTGCCGTTGCTAGTGCTCGCTTGAGGAAATCATTCGTTATTGTATATTATGGTTCCCGGGCTGAATTATTCATTCCCATGGTTTTCAAAATGTAATACACTTTTTTTTCTTGACAATGCTGTGCTCGATATTAGGCTTTTAAAGATTTTATAATTGGTGCGGCGAGAAGCCAAAAGTATTCCGTCATTTTTTTATGACGCCTGCGTGATTCTTCCAAACGTATTATATTTCATTACGTAACTCGCATCTAACAATGATGCACATAAACTGGATCTTGCCAGATTATTTAATGGGCGCCAGTTGCGTTTCTTCTGACTATTTCTTTATGCATAACGAATAGAAATAATGTTCTAATATTTTGTGTGAGGATAAACGGATGCATATATCTCTTATTTTCTTACTATTTTTTGTAAAATAGTTGTAAGCAGCAGTGAAGAATTTATCAGTTTAATCCCATTGTATTAATCTTCCTTCGAGTCAACCTCTTAATCGATTGTATTTTAAATTCCTTATTTTTCTTTTAGGCATATGCTGCTGGTTGTAATATAGTGATTCTCGCAAGTAATTTTGAACGGGTTCAAATAATCCCTGGAGCTGTACACAATTACATACGGATAAGTTGTTTGGACTGCAGTACGGATACTGGAAAAATCGCTGCTGCGTATGAGAATCAAGTCTGCATATTTGAGCCGACTCCATTGATTCACAGTACTTGCTCCCATGTTCGTATCTTTCAATACTAAAATACTCTATAAACACCCAGGAATTTATTTAGATTCTACCTTGATTATTTTATTTGTTTAGCAATTAGAATATCGTTGGGTTCAAACTGGTACTTTGCAAACTGACTCATATATCAGCTCGTTATCATGGAATCTGGAGGGAACTCGACTGTTGACCGGTGGAGAACTGTTGCAGCTCTGGCATCAAAATATTCAACCGTTTCAAGAAGAACAGAGTAAGTGAGAAAACATTTTCTATCTTGTACATAAATTCAGAAAAGAGACAGAAGCTACTTACGATCTTTGCACCTTATTCAAATAATTTGTTATTAATAGGATATAAGTATTGCAAGGTACTTTTTATTTTTCTTATAAAAGTATAAGAATTCTAACTAATCGTTACACTTTTTTTCTGCATATGCTTTTTGTGACTGTGTGACCCTTTTGATCGTTATTTGTGAATAGTCATACTTTAATGCCTTCCCTGATTTACCCAATGTTCGAATATTATATACAGCTATGAAGGTGAAAATACCGCAAACAGAAGAAGTCTCTGTACCAGGAGGAGAACAGAACGTAACAGCAGTCAACCCTCAAGATCGTGAGTTCATTCGCTTTGAGGATGAACCCTAAATGTCGATGTGCTTCAGGCTTCTTATAAAACCATGGAATTTTTTAAACCATTGCCGTGTGCCATCTTTATAATCATAGCATTTTATTGGTTTAATTTCAGCAACACAGACTTGGAATAGTCATGGAATCCTCACCTGGGCTTCGATTAATTTTTTAATAAAATATTAAGTTGGATTCTGTTATCAAAGCCAAATTCATTCCATCGATCTTACTATGCGAATCAATACAAGCTTCACTTACATTCTTATTTTTTTTTTTAAGCATGCACATTCAGGCAAGTGCGGCTTTGGTGGTATGAAGCATAAAGCATGATCGCATTGATTATTTAATGAGTCTGTTTTTCAGCTTCAGCATGTCATTATTACTTGTCAATATGGATTGAGACAAGGGACACGAAGGGTACTGTGGTTAGGAGAATGAAATTATAATATTTGGAAATAACAGTCTAATACTTACCTACAGCTGGTGCGGTAAAATTCTCTATCGGAGGGGAAGCTGAAAGTCCAGGCCCGGCAGAGCCAACTTCAGGAAACGAACCAGGCTCCTGGAATTGCGCGTGGAAATGCCGAACTGCTACTCCAGTCCATCTTATGAGTTTTAGTCCCGATGGAACCCTTTTCGCAACAACAGGCATGAACGATAGACTCGTAAAAATTTGGTTTGAAAACAAGCACTGTAAGGATCAACGTTCTAGATAACCGTATCTTAAACTTGATATATCTTTCAACTTCGATATCATTTCTTTAGTATTCCCAACGAGAAGTATAGACCACACCAACTTCAGCCAAACTGTCGGAAATGACAGCTACAGCTTCGTTTACGTGGCCCATCCTCGAGCTGTCACTCATCTGTCATGGCGAAAGACTAGCAAGTACATGCCAAAGTAAGCAACATTTTTCAATACATTATATTCGCGTGGCTTTCGTGAATAAAGATTTAACTTTTCCTCTATTTACATCTTTTAACAGAGGGAGTGTATCGAACATGCTCGTTACTTCCTGTCGAGATAATATCTGTAGAGTCTGGACTGAGACGATACCTCCAGAAATTGAAGGTTTAGCTAATATGAGTCAGTTTGAGGGTTCCGATAGACATGGACACCATGGGAAACATCGTCATCATAGTATGCATAAGCATCGGTTTATGCAGCGCTTGAAACATATGAAGTACGCCAACAATTATTATTTATAATAAAAATGGCAATTCTCTAGAAATGATTGAAAAACATGTTTAACACGTTTGGTTTCATTTTTAGGACGTGTTTTCACATTCGTCGCCATGCAAAGCAGCAACAACACCAGGCCGGCCATACTGCGCCAACCCTTCCAACTCTGCCTTCAACATACTCTGTTCATGATTTTCATAATAACTACCAAAGTTCAGGACATTATCCAGGAATGCACTTTCACCTAGCAGCCAGTATTAATGCCGAAACGGGTAAGTAATGTAATAAAAATTTCAAAAGCATCTTCAAGAATTCCCTTGTGTCGGAAAGACTCTATAGTAACGTAACTCTCATAGATATCCCACTGGTACCAAGTCTAATCACAGGAGATCCCGACAGAGAACCAAACTTTATCTTGCATTGGCTTAACAACAAGGAAATGCATTTTACAATGCAGGCAGAAAATATACTACAGGTATTACCATTGTACTTTAGTAAATTGACTTACGTAAATAATAATGTTTCGTTTAACAGGAACTTACTCGCAAATTGGTGGAAAAAGAAGAGGGCTTGCAGCATCCCGAAGGAGATCATGCCGACCACGATTCCGAAGACGAACACACACCAAGTACGATTCCGATTCCATCTCTGTACAATTTTCCACTCCATCAATGCTGCTGTAACTTTTATCTCGCATGGATCATGCTTTTCACATTTTCGTTATCTATCCATGCTATCTTAATGATCTCATTTATGTATCCCCCAGTATGTCGAATTACTGGCGGAAAAAAATTCACTGCAAGACGCTCAGGCAAATGTAATCCACAAAACCGGATTCGCAGTTGTTCCGTAACGACTGCAAAATTTCAAACCGACCGTTTCACCGCTCTTTTCGTAAAGTAGGCTTAAACACCTCACCGCATGCTGCATAGTTTTTGGGTAGAAGTATCATTTGTTAGGTACCATCTTATCCTGTTACGGTATGATGCGCCCTGTAGAGAAGGGAGTGCGCTACCAGTCGAATCAAAAGCCAGGAGTCGGTGGAAGAACGACGAGTCAAGAGGAACACAGCAGCGATGAGCACCACACCGCGCATACGACATCGTCTCATCACAGTCTGCCCCACAGCGTGCACTCTCACCAAAGTCTTAGGTAAACGATTACGCTTAAATTTAAACAGATCACTAGAATGTACTTACAAAGTACCGAGTCCCTGTTTTCCTTTGTGTAATAATTTCGTAATACTTCCAGCAACACCACGTCCATCAACTCCATAGCGACGGACGCGACGTCTTCGATGAACCATGCCCCAGATTCGCTGGACACAAAGATAGAAACGTTACTGCGCGACTGGCACCACAATCCGGATCTCCTATTCTCCATCCACCCGATAGACGGAAGCTTCCTGATCTGGCACATCGAGTGGCTGGACGAGTACCACCCTGGCTCCTTTCGACAAGCTCAAATCTCATTCTCCACGAGGATCCCCAATGCCTTTCCTCTGGGTGACGCTTCCACCATGAGCCACAACGTGTCCATGTACTCTCACACCACCGGTGGCCCCTTACTCAACATCCGAGAGGTCTCGAAGTCCTCGACCAAGCCATCCGAAGGTAACGACGAAAGGTGCACTGCTTAGATACCTAGAATTATCCGCTTTTAATCATAAACTTGTTTGTTCAGCTGCCGAAGTGACAACTCCGTTGCCGAGTCTCATCGAGCAGGACGAAGAACAGTCCACCCTGACGTCGAGAGCGGGTCAGGAGTTGCTGAAGAGCGTTCAAACCCTAGCAGATTCGAACCAAGCAGGCAATACTCTTCACAATGGAAATGCTGCAGAGAACAACAAAACTGCCCAGGAACACGTTACCGACATGTTGGCACATCCTAGTCCGGTGGTATCCATGGTCTCGAAGCACTCCAATGGCACCCTAAATTTGTGGCAGTTGACTTTTGCTGATAAAACGAAGTTCTCTCAGGTATTACTGCGAGATAGCTTCTAGGCGAGTTGACGGGATGCTGACGAATGTCTCTTCAGGTCCTCAGCATTGGCCACGCATGTAGAGCTTCCGGACACCGGTTTCGGGTAAATGACATCACTTGTCACCCGGTTCTTCCTCTTCTGGTGACCACGTCGCACCATAACATCCCGGACTTCCCGTCGGTGCAAATCGAGAATTCCGGATCCTCTGAAAACATGGATAACAAGCATGATAGCAATCGAAATAAAGACGTGATGTCGCCTACCGTGAGTATTGAAAAGTGACTAGGGGCAATATAAATAAATTCAATTAACTCTTCTTAAAGAGACATGTATCTTCTTTCAGGGATTCTGCAGCGAACTGATTCTCTGGCGAGTAGATGCCGTTGGTCCGCTCTCGAAAAGCGGTGGAGTCTCCGAATTGGCGCGGATAAATTCCCCAGAGATTTCGGCGTTCAGTAACGTTGCATGGATACCGACTTTATTGCCGAGCACGACTTTAGGGAACTTGTCTAATTCACCGAGTGCATGCTTCGTGGCGAGCGATGGTCAGTGTCTAAGAGTCTATCAGGCGGTCATCGATGCGAGGACGTTGCTGGCGGAGGTCTCTATTAGCGAGAGAAGAAGCAGAATGATGGTACGAGTGCTTTTATCGGGAGAAACGAATTTCTCGAGAAGTAAATAATAAAGTTTACCTGGTTTTTTAATTTTTATAGGATTCCATGGCGAGTTTGTCGACCGACATGTCGTCCGACGATGGCGTGAGACATTCAATTCACGATAGGATTAAGATAGTATCCCAACAATCCACCGCTAGACCTGGGTGCGTCATTCAACTGGAAGCCATCTCCGACGCCACACACGTAAATTCGTTTTAAAAATCCTCAGTACCGGTTGTATGGCCTAGACTAAGTAAAGTAATTAACAAATGTATTATATGTCTGTCAGGACTGGCAGAATACGCAGTTTCTGCACGTTTTCCAAGAACAACTGATCACCGGGGAGAGGAACGACGAGAGATCACCTGGCATCGACACCTCCGCCAACGATCTCGGTCTCATGGAATCTACTTTGGACGCGATGGTGGATCTTCAGCAATCCGCGATCTTCGAGGAGCCGTTTTATATAGTAGTGTTGGAAAGAACTACGAAAGGCACCACGGTCCATATGTGGCGTCTGGTCATCGCCTCTCAACCAGAAGCTACCGGTAAATCAATCTGGCCTGATCATCGTGATTTTCTGAAAATAAAATGTGTCTATTTCAATGTGTTCCACTTTCCGGCAGGTCTCACTGGGTCCATGATGTATGTGCCCGACGCTCACCTGGTCCAGGACGAGGAAGAGGAGGGTACGCCCGGACGTTTCGGAAATGAAGGTAGAAGGTCCAGAAGACCAAGTCAAACGGGAGGCAGAAGTCGTCGGGAAAGCCAAGCTGAATACGATCCGGCGTTTCTGCACAGACGCCATCACAGTAGTCACGTTCTAATCACTACTACCAAAGTCTGCACTCAGGAATTGCCCTTACCCGAGGGAGTCGAGGTTTGTATCTGGAACAATCTTCTGAGGAGTCTGTGCGATCAGCGCGAACCTAATAATTAAATTTGCAACATTTGCAACCAGGTTGTGCACGCGGCTCCAGCAGGCGGTCACTTGAGCAGTTCATCCATATATCCAGCCTGCTTCGCTCCTTACATCGTCGTAACAGCATGCAGCGACAGCACTGTGCGTTTCTGGAAATGTATAGTTACTAAGTCAGAGTACGACGAGCAATTGAGCTACGAATGGCGGGAATGGGAGATGATCCGAAAGGATCAGGAGTCTACAATTGATATTACGGGTATCTGACTTCTAGATTTCGCCATGTTTTTTCATTCCATTTTAAGTCCCAGGTTGGGCTCTTCTAATGTTCGTTTTTCGATTCTCTAGGGCAACCACTGAACGTCAGCGCAGCGTATAGCGGTCGCATCGCATGCGCTTATAAATATGGAAAGTCTTTCACGAGGCCGACCAAAACTGATCCCGACTCTCGATACGTAAATCTATGTGTCGCGATCTACGAATGCGAAAGTACGGGTGGCAGCGAGTGGATCTTGGAAGATACGATTCACCTGAAGAACATTCACCTGCCGAGAATTCAGGTGGACCAGCACTTGGATTTGAGCTACTTGTACGACAGTAGATTCCTACAGAAGAAGCAACGACTTACGCAGGTTTTGCAGACCTTGAGTCACGAGGATGTCAGATCACCGAGAAATGGAGAAAACGGAGAAAGTACAAAGTCTACTGCCGGTGAGAAACGTACATTCATGAGTTTAAAACAGTAAACTAACGGCGTGGATCGGAAATTAATTGTAATAAAATTGTTCTCCAGGTTTGTTAGCGGTTCCATCATTTAGCACGCTCCAGTCCCTGCGAAAGTCTATTATAGAGAATGGAAATACGTGTCCATTGACACAAAAGCATTTAGTTCAGTTAGATTGGGTATCTAAAGAAGATGGTTCGCACATATTAACCGTAGGTGTTGGGTCGAAGATCATGCTATTCACGCCGGTTTGCTCGGACCTCGCTCAAGCCAACATGAAGGCGATGAAGGAGTCTCAAAGCACCAACAGGCCCATCCTCAGGAAGACTTCTTCCCTGGCGCAGCCGCAATTCGTTGACGAAATTCGCTGGATGAAGTTGAGAAAAATCGAGTTGACCACCGCGGATGGCTTACCACCTCTGCCTATGCAGATCTCCTGGGTCAGGGACGGTATTCTCGTCGTCGGCATGGACTCCGAGATGCACGTTTATTCTCAGTGGAAACCAAACCCACGTAACGATTGCTTCCACTCGAATCTTCAGCATCAGGAGTCCGACGAGTTCCAGGCTAGCAGAAACTTGAGGGACGAAGACTTAAGGACCTTGGCTCATGAAACATCTCAAAGAAGGCTAGCTAACGTATCCTCTATGCCTCACTTATCCAGGGTGAGCAGCATCAACCTGACGATGTTGGACGCCAAGAAGAAACGAGGGATGCAGAACGACAACGTCAGCTTCGACTACATGCCGGACTACGGATTGTTCGAAGCCTCCCGGATAGCTTGTCCCGTATTACCTCAGTACCATCCTAAGCAATTAATGGAACTACTAAACTCTGGGAAGATCAGATGGGTGAAGGCAATCCTAGCTCACCTTGTGAGGTGCATCGCCGGCTCCTGTTCCTTGAGAGCTGACGATGAGAGTCTGGTGAAGCAACGAGGAGGATGGTCCAGGTCAAGGACAATGTCTGTCAGCTATGTAGGTACCACTTCGCCCCTGGAACCAAGAGGATCCACCACGCAGATTCCTGAAGAGCTCACCCTGGATTACGCCGAAATAACGTCCATCTCTCCTCTGCCTCTCTGGACTCTCCTCCTAGCGGATAAGGAGACGAATACGACCCAGCAAAATGAAGACAAGCACGATTATAATGAACTATTTGATGGGAACGTGGATGAAGGAGAGTCCCTCGACGACATGCTGGATGAGGATTACGATTGCACGAGGCAAAAGGATCGCAGGTCGTCCGTTCCAGAGAGGCAAGGGATATCTCACTTCGGTCCTCGTCAGGGTCGACTCTTATCCAGACTTTTAACTCATACTCATCTTCCTGGACTGTCCAGTCTGGACCAGATGCATCTCCTCGCTTTGGCCGACACCGTCTCCACGTGCAATATCGACTTCGCCGAGCGCTTTGCAATCGATGCCGCGAAAAGTGCAATAGCCAAAGAGAATTTGACCGGGATACCAGAGGGCGAGGGAGCCTCAACGGATTCTCTGGACGACTGCGGCCTAAGATTCCTCCTAGCTATGAAGCATTATAACTATTTAATTCGTTGTCTTCCTCTGGCGCAGAGAGCACAGTTGCAGAAGCAGGGGGTCTCCACGAATAACCTGGTCTGGGCCTTCCATTCCGAGTCCGAGGAAGAGTTGCTCGGTCTGATTCCATCCTACGCGAAGGGCCAAGCGAAATGGTCAATCCTGAAGGAATTAGGAGTCGGCTGGTGGATCACGAGTAGTACAGTATTAAAACGCTGCGTGGAGAAGATGGCTAAAGCCGCCTTTCAGCTGAAGCAGGATCCCCTGGATGCCGCCATTTATTATCTGGCCATGAAGAAAAAGAACCTTGTCTGGGGTCTCTTCAGGAACAGACGGGACGAGAGGATGACCACCTTCTTCTCGAATAACTTTGCCGAGGACAGGTGGCGAAAGGCTGCCCTGAAGAACGCCTTCGCTTTGCTCGGGAAGCAGAGATTCGAGCACGCTGCTGCTTTCTTCCTTCTGGCAGGGGCATTGCGCGACGCCATCGACGTGTGCCTGAATAAGTTAAATGACATCCAATTGGCTATGATAATAGCAAGATTGTACGAGGAGGACATGACTTCCCCGAACCTGAAGAGATTGCTGTACGAGGAGATCCTAGGTTGCGACAAGGATGGAAGCAATCTTGATATGATAAGGGCTCATCCTGATCCGTTTTTGAGGAGCATGGCTTTGTGGATCCTGAAGGATTATTCGGGTTCTTTGAATACCTTACTGCTGACTAATGTTGGTAGCATGCATCCGCAGTATAACGATGAATCCGACAAGCCTGAGGGAGCTACGGGTAAATATATTCATTGTTTGGTATTGATACTAACTTTCTGCGTTGAAAAAATGATAGCACAACTCTTATCGTAAAAAGAGGCATTGACAGTAACGTGATATATCGTTTCAGCCAACCCCAATGTCTTCAATTTTTACGTGTACCTTCGCACCCATCCGTTGCTGATCAGACAATACATTGCATCGACTGCCCAAGACAAAAAGAAGGGCCACTCAGTGGTGATATCAGGATTCAGTTACGGTACGGAAACTAAGAGCCAACCTGATAGGCAGCTCATGCTGGAAGATAGCATAACACCGTTGGAAAGGCAACTATACTTTACCACTGCACACGCTCACTTCAAAGCTGGCTGTCCTGCCCTTGCATTAGAAGTCCTTTCGAAACTGCCGAACAAAGTCATGGAAACGAACTGCGAAGACTCACCTAGTATGTATACTTTTATAATTAACAATATACTCTGATCGTATTCTACGATTAAGCAACCGTTTAACCATTTCTGTACACTTTTCTAGGTCTGTTAAATAGTCCAAGTAAAACAAGAGCACTGGATATCCAGATAGACACCGGTATCATTTCCTGGGATGAGAGTACGATGAAGACTGCTCCGGTTGAAGGTAATTTTAAGTTGCTTTTGGTAAACTGCTATGGCTTTTGAATTTTTAACAGATTTCAGGACATTCAGAGAAGGTGACTGGTAAATGGGGATCATCAGATGCGATGAATTATTTTTTAAACTACAATTTCAATTATTTTCAGATACTTCCACCTTGGACTGGGGTGCTCCTGCCACGGATTGGTCGCAGCCCGTGACTCGTCAAACTGATGACGAGCTGGATTTGAAATGGGACGATGAGCACGCAGAGAACGACGACGATGAGAGTCCTCCTATGAGCATGAAACTGGATAAGAAGGAAGCCGTTAACGGCGAAATCGTAGAGAAAGATGGTAAGGAAAAGTGCATCTCTTGTTCGGGGTGAGAACATCTGCAGATAGTAAATGCACATATTATAAACCTTTTCTAGACAATACTCAAAAACCAACCGGGCAGCTGGACATAATGGCACAGCAGCTGAAGTTCGTAGCGTGTCTTAAGATCTTGATGGAGGAATTGTCAACCTTAGCAACTGGTTTTGAAGTAGACGGGGGACAATTGCGTTATCAACTGTACGTCTGGCTGGAACGCGAGGTGGACGCACTTAGGCAATTGTGCAGCTACAGTGTCAATACAGACGGAGACATGAATAACGCGTCAGAATGTAAATTTCGTGCTTTTTAAGAAATTCTCATGGTAACACTCGAGGGTAATTACGACAAATTCATTTCCTCATTGATTGATTTTCCAGACGAAGGTGGAATGGTTGACGACGTACCACCCTACAGGCCAGGGGAGCAACCAACTCTGCACGAGATCTTAGTCGCTGAGAAATTAGACTTTGAAGCTAAAGTTCAAAGAGCAGCCAAACGGAAAAAGTGGCTGAAAGGTATTTAAGCGTGCACCTGCTTATTCCCCGCTGTAAAAAAAATTATTCGATTGAATTGGATTATCTTCCATTTCTTGTAGCCAATGAAACGTTGTTGAGGACTTTACTGTCGTATTGTTCGTTGCACGGAGCATCAGGCGGTGGACTGGCTTCCGTGAGGATGGAATTGGTTTTATTGCTGCAGGAGTTACAGCAAGAAAAGACGCAGCAACAATTGTTGAGTCCTCTTCCCTTCCCGACGACGTTGCCTCTTTTAAGTGCCAGCGTTGCTTGCAATAAGACCGTCGTCGGCGATCCAGTCAGGCACCTACAAGTTAGCACATTAACACGGTCAAAGAAATTAACCCAAATAATTTGCACAATAAACTATAATTTATTTAATTTACCATTTCAGTCCCTGGCCCATGATATGCTGCAAACCCTTGTGGAACTGCGCAATCCACCTATGCCTAATAGAAATTCTCATTACCGTGAAGTATTTATCGTGCGAGACTTAGCTGTGGCGCTAAGTGCTTGCATATATCAATCGCTGTGCGATTCGGATACGTTTGTCATGAAGCATCACCATCCAATTAGGTGCACTACTTTTACATACCTCGTTAGATATTTATTTATTGAGGGCATGGAACTAAATTTAGATAATCCATGTAATCTCATTATTTTCAAACATATCTGTTCACAGCTTTCCAGCAGTCGCAGAAGTGGAATCCTTTTCTGGAGGTCACTTGGTTGCATCGAACAGATATCACCGAAGGTATTCGGCAGATGACAGTGTCTGCATCACGACGTCTCCTTCGAAGTGGCCTGGTGTGACCAACTTACGTGCATTACTGGCTCGAGAGAAAGACGAAGACACGCCGAAATTAAATGTTCTGCTCTGCGAAGCCTTTGTGGCTATTTATATGAGTCTCTTTGTGTACGCCATGTCCAGTTGTGATAGCCATATCTTGTACAGACTCGTTGGACACAAGTTTGATAACAATACCTGGTCCAGTCTCTTCGGGGGTGGAGTGAAGAAATTGCTGCGGGTTGCCAGCACCAACAACAGTCAAGTAAGTGGATTTACATTATCATAGAGGAAACATTCCTTCGAATGTAATGCAGCATCATCACTGCGCATTAATTTCAGACCTTGCAGAGCAAAGAGAAGGTACCCATCGAGAGGGAAGAAAGTGTTACGGCAGAGTTGCAAGCTGTCGGAGCTGGCATGTGGAATACTATGACATCGTTGACTAAGCAAAGAGTCAGATTGAACATGAAATTGTTAGGACAGTTCTCCGGTCAGCAACCTAATATGAAGGAGGACAAGCCTACGTACCGGGAGCAATTTGTGTCTCCCCAGATGAGCATGATTTCCTATTTTCTTATGAAGGTTAGTCCACTGAGGCCAATTTTAGAGCGTGCGAAAATATGATCTGGAAAACACTTGTCGTTTTCAGCCTCGCATTGAGAGTGAGTACGCCGACGAGATAGACTACGATTCATCCGATTCTGCCGTTTCGAACCTCGACTCCTCCGAGGAAGAGGAGGACGTATTCGATACGAACGCTAAACCAAAGATTAAGCCAAAGGATAACACCGAACACTCAAATCCTAACTCGTTCAGCTGGTGTATCATGAGATTAACCATAGTTAAAATATTGCAACAGCAACTCCAAGACTTCTTAAACGTTGCTGGAATAGAGATGCAAGGTATTGATTCCATAACTTCGTTTCTGCGGTACTCATTACAATTTACATACACCGGAGCAGGAATATTAATTGAAATATATTGCTGAACAGAATTACCGGTGAGCAGTCCTCTGATTCATGGAACATTGGGGATCGTGGCTCAGTGGCAAGAGTCTTTACGAGAAGAACTCGAGGCTAAATCACCGGCACCTGCAAATTATATACCAGGCTGTGCTCCGGATCCTACACCCACACCTGGGAAACCTGCGATTCATAAATACCGCTCATTGCTGGAGAAAGGCAATACGCCTTTCAAGTGAGTAACAAAATTATTCGCACTACCGTATTTTATGTTCTTCGAGTGCAAGAAGTAATTTCAACGTTCCTATTCAGTACTCGCATGGCTTCGGCTGCGCCTGCCAATCGATTGTGGAGCTACTTGGTTCGGCAGGAAGCGGTTCAGGACGTTTTCATTCGAGCGATTTTCGGTAAACGCCGATCTCTGTCCTCGATTTTGGAAAGCAATCAAACCAACATCGATGGTCTTAATCGAGGAACGGGGACTGGGGAAGACAAGGGTAGCGACAGTGGTACCACGAGTCTTCCCGAGCCTGTCAGAATTATTCACAAGGAGCAAGACAGCATTAGTGCCTTTTGCCTAAATCAGGTCAGGTTTGCTTCGACGTTGGTTCCTAATTTCCAATTGGGATGTCCCACATTCAATGGTATAATGCTTTTATCAACAGGTCAACCCAGGACTAATGGCGTTAGCGACGCCCCGCGAGGTACAGGAGATGGACATCTCGTTACTTCTCGAATTGCCATCTTGGCTTGAAGACGAATGTGAATTCGACATCATCAACCTGAATAAGCAGCCCGATCCAGAACCCGTGCAACCTACAAGTTTCCTAGTCATACAGGTAGATCTTTTACTGGACTATTAGTGCCAATGTTGAGGGAAAATAGATTAATGTGAAATTTAAAATGTAATACGTAGACTGCAGCAGATAGGCCATTGCTGGCTCAAGCACCGCAGCCAAACAGTCCTCAACCACAATCGGGTATCGGCAGTCAAAGCGGACGAGGTGCTAGTGTGGTAAGTTCTTTTTGGATCTTGAGGATACTTCTTTTTTTTTTTTCTTTCTTTTAGTCTACTTATCGTTTCGACTACTACCTACGTATCTACCTACTCACCTACCTGACCATCTATGCTAACTCCGTTATTTAGATACGGTACATCTAGAGTGAGTAGAAGGATTTTCTTCCAAAGTATTGCAAAGCTGACGGTCTAAACGTTCATAAAGGAAGAAAAAATTAATTCAGTACCTAACGCTCTTCGACACAAGTTTTTTGCGTCTGCTGAATGTCTTTTGAGGTCTGCCATGCTTTGGACGGAAATTGACCTAATCATTTTAATTGTACCGCCCTTTGTGCAGGGTTATTCTCTTTGGAAGTCACGAAAGTGATTTCTTCTCCAAGGACTAATGCAAACGACAATGATTAAGTTAAATATTTCTCGTCCTCTTGGATACCGGATGAATAGAGAGACTCCCTATGTATAAAATACAATCAACGTAATATCGTGCAATTACTTTCGACGAATTTAGTATTCAATGCCTATTCAAGAGCGGTACAACTTCCTCAAAGAGTATGACGCACGATTAGTGCCAAAAGTCATGCTCTTTGAGGCACCATGAAGTGCCTTCTCTTCTTTTAGTAGTAAAGCACAACAAAATTCAAGGATTAACATATTGAAGTCATGTCCAGAGAGCCCTAAGTTTTTCTTTCCTATTCGATCGTACGATTGTGTAAGAACATCTGTGTTTGAACAATATTCTCTGTGATTTCTAGTGGCTTCCCTTTACGTTTTGCCCCGACACATTATTTATAATATGCACCATTGACATGTTCTTCATGATACCGTTCCAGCACTACACATGAATTGATACACACTAATAACAATTTCCTCGATTTGTCTCTAAGTATTTCCTGTCGATGCATTAAAGGGTTCCTCTAAGCCTGTTCAAAGTGACAAGCGGAAGTGCAAAACTAACATCTAGTGCGCCATTAAACACTTTGGAACCGAAGTTCCATTACGCTTCGCCTTCGAAGGCATTGCTGTACAAACGCTTAATTGGCAAACGAAACTCCATAGACGGAATCTAGCGTCATAATTCCCTGTTTTACACGTTTTACAAGCAGGCGAATCCGTCAAATAATTCGGACAATTACGCCTCGTCGAGTTTCCGAGGTGAAACTCGAAAGTGGAAGGTTGTAGTGTAAACCAGTCGAGTATTTAAGGCGATATGCAAATGACATCTGAGGAATCGTTCATGCTACATTTCTCCAAACTGGGTGCACCGAATCGCTTAAAACTTTACTACACGAATACGGAGGCCATAAGGAAGGTCGCGACGTCCACGAGATTTCAATTTTTATACCAAATATTGAAAATATCTATTGACAAATTTTTTGTACAAAAATTGAAATTTTATGGGGGAAACCTTTACAGCCGAATTATTCATATTGTAACGTTTGAAAGGATTCGGCGCTGCCAGTTCGGAGAGAAGCTTCATAAACGAGATCACTTTGATGTTACTTTTATATCACCTTAAGTAATTGCGACAGAGGGAAACCACGTTAAATTAGGTTTGTTTAATCTTAAAACGAGCCAGCTCGGGGCCACGTGGGTGGCCCTTCGGTTAGGGTAGCACAAGTGGTGACGGAGACAATGTTGCTTGTTCAATGCTTGCCTAACGTCTAACTTGGTCTGCGTCACTGACCTGGTGGCTCGCTCGCTCAGATGAAGGGGATGCCTGCTTTTCCTGGCTCCCACGACCTGCGCTTCTGTCAGTTTGTCGCTGATAGGAGCAAACACTTGTTGAAGCCGGTGAGACTAACATCTAACAGACCCTAGCCTTTCCTAGTGCCGATTCCACGTTCTTCACTTATTTGTATTGAGACACTGCGGATGCATTTTGCAGTCCTTACTCGGTCTTGCGAGACGTTACATCTCTGGTTAAACATTCCGCCGCGTTGACAGAATACTAATTAGTCCTCGATAGTTGCATCGAAAGCTCCAAGACTTTGTTTAAAAAAAAAAGAAAGAGAAGAAAAATGCATCCTGTTCGGTCTGGCTTATAATAATTTCTTAGCTTTGTTTTTATGGTAGTTCGCAGTGCTTGGCAGCATGCCTGTGTTTTGTAGTTTAAGTTACCACTCAACTTATCTGCGGATAATTGACAGTCCCCGACCGTTTAGAATATTATAGGCCAGATTTCTTGTCTTCAACTGCCTGACCGTTTACTTCCCAAGTTCAGGCATGATATTAGATATTTGATATAAATATCAACACGTTGGTTTCAATGTTACTACCAGTGTCGACAATACCCCTTTTCTATAGTTCTTGCTTTTATCGATCCTAGAATTACAAACGAGGTAAATGTCAGTGCCCTGTCCTGTTATTAAATTGCACCTACTTGCATAATTCCAGTTAACAAATCTCTTTATGGAGTGTTATCGATAATTTATAAATATTATCAATGTACACGTGTTACAGTACTTTGCATTAATTCCTTCTTTACAGTGTAAATTAGCCGACCAATAAAATCCACCGTCGATTCTGTTAACTAATTAGCTTGACGAGGATCTTTTACTTCTTACTCACTGTTAATGTAATCGGCTTGATAATAGTTATCACTGAAAGCTACGTTTATGGTGTCCAGTCTCTCGTCGCAGTCACGTTCAGGGCACCTGTCGGAATTGAACAAATCAAACGTTAAATTAACTCGCTCCGCTTGCAAAACTAGCCGAAATATATTATACCGTCGTTAAAAACGCATGCACACATATCGGTTTGGCAGATTCCTCAAAGCTCGTGCTATTTTGTCTGTATTACAATTATGACAATGCCGCCGTTTGGTGAGATTATATAAAAGAGTTGATTCTTTTTTCCTTTTTTTTTTTCCTTTGACAAGTTCTAAATGTTAGTTCTCGCGAGGATTTACCTACGACATTTACTTAGTCCTTGTCTATTTATTTCCGATAGATCCTCAAACACAAGATCGATGGTATACGGAGGCTGTCGTCGCATCCACTGCTGCCGCTATGTAAGTCCATTCTGCAAACTCCAAGTACAATGTGTAATTAAATCCCTGATTCCTAGATTGATTTTCATTTAATCTCTCCATGCAGACTTAACGGGATCGCAAGATGGTTCTGTCTCACTGTGGGAATGGGGCCATCAGACCGCAGTCGCAACTCCTCGACCATCAGGGACCTTCGCTAAAGTTACTCGTGTGAGGTTCTCCCAGCATGGGAACAAATTTGGCGTTGCCGACTCGGATGGACACCTCAGCTTGTTCCAAGTGGCGTGTAGAGAGGGGACGGCAAGACCTTTCTTTGTAAGAATCGACCTCATTACTTTAGCTCTATTCAATTGAGCTAGGAATTTTTTTTCTTTCAATGTGAAGTAAAACCCCCCTCAAATCGGTCGCGTCGAATAAGACACATTTATTTTCTTTAAGAATTAACCATTTAATTAATTGAAATGATTGCACAGGACTTGTGAGCGCAAAAAAGTGTCTCATGAGCTTCTATGCTGAAACGAAGGTAAAGTTAGGCCTTGGAGAGAAAATTTAGTCGGTACGGAAATCACAGATGGCGCTGGGTAGCACTCTGTAGTCAATTAGGACACGAGGAACCACGAATCTTTTAATCGACGTAGATTCGATTTTTCGACGGGTTTCACTTCATCTTACATGTATTCCGTTGATTAACGATATCATTTATAATAATACCTTACCTCGAAATTACTTTCAGAATTACCAGTGTCATAGCAAGGTAACGGCTGACTTTGTCTTCTTGGGAGCGTGCAGTCTCGTAGCTACGGCTGGCCATGGCTCCGAAGGTCGAAACGTAGCTCTATGGGATACGTTACTTCCTCAGAACAAGTCTCTTGTTCAAGGTGCGCATCTCAACCGATAACTGTAATCAGTACCTCTTCGGTGCTTCTAGCTTATACGAATATCGGTAATCATTACATCCGGATTAATTAACAATTCCACGCGTTCCGCAGGATTCACTTGTCACGACCAAGGAGCAAGTTCCGTGATACTTGCGCCGCAACATCAACTCTTGATCAGCGGCGGCAAGAAAGGAGACATCAATATCTTTGATGTCCGACAAAGGCAACAGCGACACAGATTCCAAGCTCACGAGTCAACAATTAAATGCTTAGCCCTTGATCCCCACGAAGAGTTCTTCGTCAGCGGGGCGGGAGACGGTGATATCAAAGTAATTACTTCTCCAGGCGTACTTCCCTTGCTCACTTTGTATCTGAAACAAAGTAACGATAGTTGTACGTCACGTGTTACCTTTAATCTAGGTTTGGGGCCTCACCGTCCATTCGCTTCTTTACTCGTTTCCTGCCGAGCATCCGAGGTCAAGTTTCTTCAAGAACATCGGACAGGTAAACTATTTAACTTATTCTTCCCGTTATTGACATTTCTTTCTGCATTAATGACTGACATTAACCGCAGGGTGTGACGCAATTGCACGTGGACTCGGCAGGACGTCTGTTTTCCTGCGGAGCGGACGGTTCAATGAAAGTTCGCCAACTGCCAGAACGCGACTGTGTAGTACACGCGCTGTACTAGGATTAAACTGTTATTATTAATCCTACCTAAGTAAGTAAACCAGAGCAACCAACGTAACCAATATAACGTGAATGGCCTTCTACGCATAATGTTACAACGGAGTCATAAAGAAAGTCAAATTGCACAGAACCCTGCCGTCCTTACGTAGAAAACTGCTTTGTGTCGTTCTCCAAAACCGAATGCTTTTAATCGGCCCCAAAACGACGCGACTGTCCGGTCGGTCTTTGCACTTTGCGATTGAAGCTTCAAGGCAATGTCACATTTGGGGCTTTAGTACGATGACTAATTCACACTGCCATTTCATTGGGAAAACCCAACGTAAGAGGAGAACTTGCGGCTTGGGCCTGTGTGAACCTGGAGATCCAGTTTGAGGCACAAACAAAATTAACAGGCTTACTAGAAAGCTTTCCGTGATGTAGACGTTGTGTGTCACGTTGAGTTTTGAACGGGATTTGATGCTGAGAAAAAAATATATGGCACAAACGTCTACTTCACAGAAACATTCCAATAAGCCTGTTAATTTTGTTTGTGCCTCAAGCTGGATTCCAGGTTCACACAGCCGCGGCTTGGAGGTACTGGGTCCCACTTTTCCTCGTTTCCTTCGCGCAGTAGGTTTTCTTTATGACTGCAATCAAATGTCCAACGAGTCTGTGTTACTGCCCAGCACAGTTAAATGTTGCTTGAAAGTTTACACGGTGCACTGAGGGGGTCTCTCCCTCGGGAGCTGGTGGACTTTGACGTTTGGTGGGAACGTGGCATCGCGTATCAGCAATAAGTTTTAACACGTGACCTTGTTACTGCACTGGCATCGTGCTTAGCATAAGTGACCGAGTGACATCTCAGCACACCCTTGATTCCCCTGCAATGCACACGAGTAGAAACGCAAAGTGACGGCCTATTTGATTTTGTATAATCTGCCCGACTTTATTTTCTCCAGTCGTGATCTTACATAGAGAGTAACCTTCCAATCGTGTACATTTACAAAGGTTCATTGTATAAAGGTATTAAAGCGACATGAAAGGCGTTTTTAAACGGTCCATTGGGCGATTACTTCTCCTAATTAAGTAAACCTATTCGTCTGAAATATTAATACATAATTGTTTGTAACGATTGAGAGTGGTCAGGGATCACGCTCGATCGTTTCAAACGCGACAGTCACAGAAAATTCCACATTTGAACCCGGAAAAAGGGAGAACAATGTTAATCCATGAATCAGAGGTATACGAAGCGGGTAATCCGCTCTGTATGTGAATTTTAATTAATAATTCACTGTAACTGCCCAATTTTTAACGTTGATTAAACTTATCAACGCCTTTCCCGTCGCCTTAATTTGGCCCTATCGACTCGTTCACTGTGGGGCCGTGCCGTTTAATTTATGTAAAGATATGTTAAGTACACACCTATTTTAGAGGAATACGCTAAAGTTGATTTCAGGTTACGGATATACCGCTATAATGAGTATTGACCTACGACTGCTTCACGACAAGGACAGGTGCCCTGTGTGGACGCAGCTTGTTTGTGATGTCGCCTAATTCCTGAAGTTCCATATTAATAACAAAAGTGGTCTTCGCTAAGATTAACTATCGATGTAAATCAAGCTTACTCAAATTAGCTTTCTTACCCGACGATGGCACCTCTCGCGATACGCCGCATCGGACACGTTTACGTCGAAGGCTCGGCACTGTTATCGTCGTCTAAAAATCACTGTTAACAATCATTCCTTCTGCCTAGAACGACGATCTTAATGTATTAACGAATATAACTCGTGTCACTGTGTCGATACTCTAGGACGTTTAATGTATGCTTATCCGTTAGCAACGCGACATTTTGGAAGAGAGACACCTCTCGGCCGTTTCAGTTACTAATCGATGAATTTGTAAATTGATTGTAAATCGACAGCTTCGAATGATGCCGATACAGAGTTCACGAAGTAGGTCCTTCGTTTGAGTTGTAAAATAAAGGGATATCACTAGGAAAGGATTCGGATTACTAGTCCATTGTGATTTGTCGTCGTAATTTACATTTTCGCGTCTTTTAGTTCTAAACACACGTTTTAGTGTCGCGTTAACCGTGGAGTGTGCTTATATTAATATAAATATATATTCTTGTCCCACGATTGGCAAAATTTCGGGACAGAGAAGCAATGTGATTCTCGTATCGAAGGTGTCTCTGAGTCCTTTGCCTGGCTAAGCGCCCTAAGTTTAAATAAATTAGAGGTTTTTATCAGACCTGTTTAGCAGTCAGGTTTTTGCAATGAGTCCTTTTATTACGTCTCGTGCAAGCCACTCGTTTAGCTGCACAAAAGTACTGAATGAGGAAGCAACATCCTGTGGGCAATTATAGATTTTACTTTAATCGTTTATTTCTCCCCAGGGAGCAGAGTGGAAAAGAGAGGAAAAACTGGTTACGTATTTAGAAATTCCGCTGCTGGAGTAGTTTCGTTCCTGCGTTCGACATATTTCTTTCCCTCAGATAGGTATGACCCTCTGTTTGCTCTTATCGGCTATTTGATAAGTAATGTCATGTCCGAGGAAGAACGTCTTTCGGAGCGGCGCACTTTTCGATCTCTTTGTCTTGATACCTTCTGAAAGTTCCAAGTTCCGCAACCGATGTGAATCTACCTACCGATTTAATGTCGAGCAAAAGAAAGCATGTTATAACGTTGAAGCTATATTAGTACTACGATATTAAATGTGACGCTAAATCCCGGGATTACTTCGGCATGTAGCCGCAGCCAGCTCTTTTAAGTAACTTAAACTCGTTGCCACAAATTCTTCCGAGACTGGGAGCAATGTGTGACAGGAAGACGCATATTTTATACAATGTTTACATACCGGAAACATCCAGTTCTTGCCTGTAACGTAAGTCACTTAAAAGGGAGGCTACCATGTCGAAGAAATGGCCCGTTTGTCTCATCAGAGCTTGATCACAAAGTGTCGTGACACATTCAATCCCGTGTCTGTTGTCAGAAGTAATTAAAGAATTATGTCCTATTCATAATTTGCACCGGTTGCACGTTCATTGAATTCCTTAGCTACGTCCACCTTAAGTTTCTCTACAGAAACTTACTTGACCGATTAAAGTACTTTGAGTACCATGCAAAACCATTCTTTTTTTTTTTTAATAATGAAAAACGACTATTTTTGTAAGGACAATTTAAATCGCTGCTTTGCTGAAACCTGAAGAGCCCTGAAGTATTTATATCGGGCAATTTCAGATAATGAATTGTCGTTAAATAGTCGTTTCCTGCTGTAATTGCTGTTTTGCATTGTTCTCGGCATGGTTTAACAAACGATCTCTCGGACGTTAGAATTTATCCTAAGTAAACTGACTTGATCAAAACCTGATGAGAACAACCTATGCTTGAGCAACTTGTTAGAAACGTTAAACAAATATATATGTTAATATGGAACAGTCATACATAATATAGCGAATATATTTGTGTATATATATAAATATATTGCGTAGAGGTAGCATGAGAAATTAATATATATTGTTACGGTTAAGCTAATCGAGTAAGCAAAGGCAATTTAGCGGGAGAGAGACCCACCGTAATCCATCAGTTCTATAATCGGATACACTTGCAGTATTGTACACATTATTCAGAATGCACATTACTATTATAATGGCAAGGGTATGTAGACGTTGCTTTGGTTTGCTTATACGTCAATCGTTGACCGCCTCAAAAAGGAAATCTTGTGAGCGAGCCAGACTCGCAGGTGTTGTATACTTGATAACATTATAACTGTATGTAAATTGTAACTATTAAACAGTTAACTTAAGATCATCTACCTCTTCACTGAGTTCCGTCAATCACGTTTCATGTAAATTAATGATTAAGGCACCTCGAACGACCAGACGCCCATTAATGAAGAATTCAATCGAACCTATTTCACAGTCTTTATTTAATCCCCTGACGAAAGCATCGTGCACAACTCTAAACGTGACATAGTGGTTTTACTACGATTATTTTCAATGCACGTGATAGCAATAATTATATTGGTAATATCGAAGAAAGTGTCACTGAAAATTGTAGCGCGGTAGTACTTTGAAGTATAAGTAACAGAGTTTAGTTTTACTTTACGGACGACATCGCTCTAGAAAACGTGGATAGAGGCAAACTTCACGGATGTGATATCTGTTCAGAAGCCAGCACAAAAATCTCTCTAATCCCAGACCATATCCTCCGTGTGGGCAGGAACCATACTTTCGCTAAAATGTATAGTACATTTATTTATAAATGTTATGTACTCCTTTATATATTACTAAAACAATAGCATTCCACTCCATCCGTACCTGATCGGTGTACCAATAGTAAGGCGTAGAATCGATGCCTGCATTCTTATAAGCTTCCAGCATTTCATCGTGATGCCAGATACGCATCGACCCTCCAACGATCTCTCCAACATTTGGCAAAAGTACATCCACTGATTCGGTCAAGCGTTTATCCTCTGGACAACGTTGCATGTAAAACGACTTTATCTCAGCTGGGAATCGGCAAAGCATTATTGGCTCGTTTATCTGATCTGTCATTTTTCTCTCAGGCATTTCAGGAATGTCCTAAAATAAGTTGCTCTATTAACGGATAATCTGCTATGCTCATGGATATTGCAAAATTGTCGCGTTTTTTCATTCGCACCTCTCCAAATTCATAAAAGCTTCCATCCTCCTTCGTTATATTGTTGGCTTTTAAATACTCTATTGCGTCACTGTAGTTCATTCTCTTGAAAGGCCTTGTAGGAATTTTAAATTCGGGGTTCAATTCCTTGACTAGATGACCCAGTGATGATTTCAGAACACGATCAACTACGTCGCAGATCAGATCTTCGAGACGATCGAGTAGTTCGTCAAAACTAATGAAGGGACATTCTGCCTCAACATGAGTATACCTGACATCAATAAATGTTAATTTGATTTACTGCTACAAATACTTAATTATTAAGAAAAATTGTGTTAAATTTACTCTGCTAAGTGTCTCCTTGTTCTAGATTGTTCCGCCCTGTAGGACTGAGCTATGCAATATACATCGCCCATTGCTGGAAGGCAAGTTTCCAAGTATAATTGAGAACTTTGAGTCAAAAATGCCTCTTCTCTGAAAACATGAGTCGAAATGTTCAAATGAACAATTTAACATTCTGCTATATTCTTTTACTCTTAAAATAATTACCCAAAGTAGTCGAGTTTAAAGAGAGTAGATCCACCCTCCACTTGGGTCTGCACCAGTGTCGGAGGAGTAACTTCACAGTAACCTCTCTCTTTATAATGATCTCTGAATGCTTGTGTTAACACTGATCTCATAATCAATATACGAGATGTCTAAAATTAGAAACAAACCCTTTAAATTATGTACCATAACCGTGTATGTGTTTTTGAGGATAACATAAGACCTACATTTTCTCCTCGAATCATAATGTGCCTGTTATCTAGTTGAACATCAGGATGAGCTTCTTCGTTTAAAATACTGTCCGCACCGCCAGGAGGAGATGGTCCAATAATTCTCCAATAATCTACGCACAATTCATGTCCACCAGGAGCCTAAAATGCATTTCTAGGTTAATAAAACAATTCTAAAATTCATACGTTTCATAAACCTGATGTAACTTTGCTCTAACAGTCATCGTTGCCATCAAAATTCAATTTGTTCATGTGATACGTACAGTTTTTCCTTCAGGGACAGTTTTCAATGTTCCGAACAATTCAACGGTAGCTTCAGTAGACAAAATAAGAGCTTCATAAGTTTGACACAATCTCTCGTTTAAAATGCACTGCAGGAAACCAGTTCCATCTCTTAATGTAATGAACATTAAAGCTTTGCCTATAATAATAACATTCTTATTAAACAAGGTATCATACATTAACAATCTTATAAGACAAATGAGTTTAATTTCAGACCTTGACGTCTCAACCTGTGTACCCATCCAAATAATTTAACTCGCTGGTTTCTGTAGGGCAGGCTCTCGTTTATCTTAATTCTAGTTGCTGAAGAAAGTGTTTTGTCTTCTTCAATGACTATGGATTTTGCCTCTTCTAAATTCTTCAATCTTTTCTCTTCATCCTCCAATAATTTCTTTTGCTTTTCTTCACTCTTGTATTGTTCTCTAACCCAAATTTTTTGAATTTTCTTCAACTGAGACTTAGAAGCGGGTTCGTACTTTTTTCCTTCCTCTGCCGAATCCTGATAAATTACAGGAAACGGCTCTTTACCAGCATGGCGCATTGCTTGCAAAATAGTCTTAAATGGTTTAGCTTCGGTTCCACTACCGTTTTCATCACTCCCGTTCTTTTCTGAGGTATATATTTCCTCTAAAGTAAATAAAAAATGTTACGTTACATACACAAATGGCAATGACAATAATCTTACAATGTCTTACCAAGGGACAATTTTGACAGATCCTTTTCAGGCATCTTTGAACCTAAAAACAAACAATTGCTATATATACAAGCATGCATACTACTTTCAGCAAATTATTGAATAACAATGCATCGTTTCAGGTATGTTTAAACCGACATGATAAAAATGAGTACTTTGAAGGTGCAAGTTAATTAATTCAATTACTTGTTAACAGTAATTTAAAAAAACGACTTTTGGTAGAGTAGACATACCTGATGCAATCGGTCACACCTAACAATCAGCTTTCAACAACCGGCAGCAGCTGAATTTCAGTATTCTCTGAATTGAATCGCAGCGGTAGGAACAGTGCGGATTTCTATCTGTATCTGGACGCCTTTTTATCTGTTCCTTTATCTGGAATAGATGTCCACTGTAATCAACCACGAATTCGAGCCCTTTTGCCTAAAGCTTTTAAGCTTATTTAAAGCAGCGTGGATCCGTCCACGTCTCAAACTACCTCTCTTAGAAGATCCACGTCTGAACACGTCTGAATACAGTGGAATACACGGGAAGATCTAGCTGTGCATAGACTAACAAAATCGCATTAACCGAGCCAGAGATGAGTTGGGAGATTGCTCACGTGCAGGGTCGCGCGATCGCACCGTGTGCTGCCCTCTGATTTCGTACGTTAGCTTTCACCGTTTTTTGTCGCCCTGCAGCGATCTCGACGTGGGTGAGCCGGTTGCGGGTCGTCCTGTTTCCGCCACCTCCTCTGTCCTCCACCCTCCTGCAGCGCTCCTTTTCTCGTCGAAGCCTTCTCAGCCGCCGTTGAGATTTCGTCCTCGCCCGTGCGGCGGTATCGATGATTTCCATATCGGGACACCGCGCTGCCTTCTAGTATGATACAAAGAAGGCCGACGAAGTTTAAGTTCCTGAAGTCAGGTTTGAAGTTCTTCGTCACCGTGGAGATCGCATTGTTTCTGGGCTCCTATGCCCTCTGGCGCCGCATAAACACCTCTCAAGGTAGGAGGCCTTTTATGCTCCGTTTTGTCCCTTTAATTTCCATGAATTGCTCCTACATCAATCGCTTTCTGCTATTCGGCCCTGCCTCGAGACTTTTTAGGTTATTTCTCACTTCATGAGGATTCCTTATTCGGTTTCGGAGTCTGCTCCGGGTTTTTTCAAATTTTCCCCGACCTGGTGTACCTCCTGGTGCTCGCAGTTTTCATGATTATTAGGTTAGGTTCCAAGTTAAGGACGTTTGTACTTTTACCTCCGTTGAAGGAATTCAGAGGTTACTTTTGCTATTTCGTTCCGCCTGGTGTGAGACTTGTCGCTTGTGGTTATTTAAACGGTTTCAGGGTGTTTTAGGTTATCTCGTCAGTCGCTAGTCATCCTTGAAGGAAATCTTGGATGACGTACACGGCGACGTCCGCATCGCGATCGATTGCCGACTTCTGCCGGCGACGCGTTTTAATGAGACACTTTTCATGTGTCAAAGACGATCCGAACTTGGAACTCGGTTTTTTTTTAACAGCTTTTTTACATGTATATTTCCTCACATGATGTAACTTAGCGGGCCAAGGGTTCCGCACTTACGGAGCAAGGCATGTCTTCTGCCTATTTGCTTGAATTGCATTGCCCTTAGTTTATATACACAGATAATTGGCAAAATCTGCGGTATAATTCATAGAATCTTGTTGTAATTGTGCTTCGATATATATATTTCTTGCATTACTTCGGTACATTTAATACTTAGAATTAAATCAAAGAATGGAGTTTAAAGATTGTTAATGTAATTATGTTGTCAGATTTTAGGCTGTATATGCATGAGAACTATCCAAGCATCTTGAATGGTTATTATTCCATCGGAGAACTACTTGAGCCGGGTGACGAGATGAGAGCAATGGATCTCATGGCATGGCAGCAGAAAAAGGAGAGCTCCAAATGATTCCAGCTACTTCATGGCGTACGTAGAATTATTACTCCTTGTCCTCTGTAAGGCTCCAAGACAGTTGTCATTGCTTTTAAAAAGAATTTATTTTTCAATAGTGTCTATGTAATCACTTCAGATTTGGGTTCACTTTAAAAACTATTAATTATTAAAACAATTCCTGTATTCTTAATTCTGATTACGATGGAATCGATGTAATTAGAGATAGTAAATTATTAGTATTGAATATCTGAACCCCTTTATATTCCTGATTGTCACTTTTATAATATCCATGGTAACGATGTCTTGGTATGTCTAAAATTGACAGGTACTGTGGTTATATCTTATTGACAAAGCTGGATTTAAGTGGTTAAACAGTTAATACACATTTAGGAGTGATTCAAATTGTGTAAACTAATTAAGTAAATACCCTGTATTTAAGTTTTTCCGCAAAGTACCTGAAGAGAAATATATTTATGATTTTTAATTACAGTTTTATCTCCACTACGAACCTTGTGTCGAATCAGATCAGCACGAGCGCTCAATCCCAGTGAATGGAAGGAGGGTTCAATTTGCTGATATAGATTTCCCTTTTGCCGAAGGCAAAATCGATTTGGAAATTTCTGAAACACAGTACTCTGTAAATAGCATTTGACTAAGGATATGGATCCTACCACTCTCATCGAGGGAAGCCTACCAGATCGTATTAATAAGAGGGATCGGGAACGCAAGAATGTGATAGAAAGACGAAGAGAGGAAAGGCAACAACTAGCGGTCGAGTCCGAACAAGCTAGTTATTTCAAAGAAACCTTCTATTCATCATGCCAGAAAATACGGGATCTACTAGACGATGCTCCCACTGCACCTACGTCTGCTTTGTCTGGCATCTTCGACAAGATCAACAAGGAGATACATTTATTGAAAAGCTACCTATCTCAGTCTAAAATGTTTCTCAAGGTTTACGATATCAGGAGGGCACAAGAGAACTTGCAGGTCTTGGAAAATGAAGCTGCCGACCTGGAACTCAAACTTCTGCCTAAGAAGAAGTTTGGCTTCAAAAATCGTAGAGCGGTCAAGAAGCCTACGGAAAAGTCACTCGATGTGACCGATGGGCTGAAAGACCTAAAGCTAACAGAAGGAATTCCAAATGGCACGACCAAACAAAATAATAAATTATCTAGCAAGTATGGCGACAGTGCGTGTATGCTATTAGGTAAAGTGGACGAACAGTTGGTCTTAGATGCGGAAAACGTGAATAAGAACGATGTATTGCTGTCCGACTTGTTGCGATGTACGGTTCGGATATATGGCACTCCGAGTACTCTTCATATGGTTAATCTGAAACAGTGCACCGTCCTGGTCGGTCCAGTGACGTCATCGGTATTCGCTCATGATTGCATCGAATGCACCTTTGCTTTTGCGTGTCAGCAGCTTAGACTGCACTCGTCGACCGACTGTACCGTTTATCTACATGTCACGAGCAGAGCAATTATAGAAGACTGTACGGAAATACGCGTAGCGCCCTACAATTGGACATACGAGGATCAATCGAGTCACTTCAACCTAGCTGGGCTCGATCCAAAGGTGAACAACTGGAATTGCATCGATGACTTTAATTGGTTATCCAATGAGAAACACTCACCCAATTGGACTATTCTTGACTCTGACTTGAGGGTAAAGAGCTGGGATTGATGACGGTTTTGAGAGCGTAAACTTTAAAGACATTCGCAGACTAGGCTCTAGAGATTTGGTTTCACTTGGGAAACGGCGATCGACATTAGTTTCCTGGAGGAATCGTCTGTATTTGGCTTTTACACAATAATACACTTCACGCGATCGTTTACTGCGTAAAATTAATAAAATTTCACTGCTTAAACATGTAAGTGTGATGGATCTCGCGCCTCGTACGTATTTTTATCCCAAACTGTATGGTTTCTAATAAAATTTTTTTAGATCTTCATATACCGAAAATACGTATTATATTTTATGTAGAGTCTAGTCAAACCTGATTAAATTAAGTCCATTTTTAATGTTTTACTCCTATGTTGCGGCTCTTATGCACTCAAAATTGACGCGCCTGCTGCGCAAAGGAACTAATTTTCAGTACTGCGCATCATGTCTGCCGCCCCTCTTCCCACTTCGATGGCTTCATGGATACATGGTTCATATTTTGACGGAATTTAGAGAATATGCGTATCGAGAACTGTTATTTCTGTTCGTCTAGGATTTACCCTGGGCACGGCATACAATTTGTTAGAAATGATTGCAAGGTAAATAATATAATGAATCATAGGTTAACTTGATCAACCGCGATTTATTAAGCACGTGCTTGTGTCAGTTATGAGGTTAGGAAACCAATTGTTGAAAATAAAATATTTGGAATTGCAATGCTACAGCATTTACAGAAAAATGCTTTACTTTACAGATGTAATTAAGGAATACAGGTAATCCTGTATATTTATTGACACCTATTGATTTTCAGATTTTCAAATTCTGTCGCTCTAAATGCCATGCAGCGTTCAAGAAGAAGAAGAACCCGAGGAAGGTAAAATGGACTAAGGCATACAGGAAAACGGTCGGCAAGGAATTGGCAGTAGACCCATCATTCGATTTCGAAAAGAGAAGAAATATCCCAGTTAAATATAACCGAGAATTATGGGCAAAGACAATAGAGGCGATGAAGCGAATAGAGTCCATTAAACAGAGAAGGCAAAATGCACATATTATGCAGCGGTTACGTAAAGGACGTGAAATTGAACAAGAAAGGGACATTAAGGAGGTGCAACGCAACTTATCGCTCATTCGGTCACCTGCTGCTGGTCTTAAGGAGCGCAAGAAGCTCGAAGAAGAAACGGAGCAAGAAATGAGAATGGAAGAGTCCGACGAGGAAATGGAGGCGGAACAAGTAGAAGCAACGGGTTAATTAAGTTTGTAAGTTAGCGAATGGCAAAGACTGTTTTTAACATCCATTGAATACATCTCTAGCATCGACGTAACGATCAGTGTGTATTGTGGAACCGGAAGATCAAGCGATGCGATGTATTTAATCTACTTTAAGGTGCAAGTGAAGCAGGTATCTAGAAATACAACACAATGTCATGTTTTAAATTACGTTCATGATGCAGAATAGATAACTGCTTGAACAAACGGTGCATCATTGTTTTGGGTGGTCTACCTAAACAATTTGTATAAATGAAAAAAATATAAGGAATCGAATTATAAATGTGTTATAAATGGCTTACTATACTTTAGAAGATGCAGTAGATCAGAGCGTACTAAAGGATGTTATCACAGAACTCGTCTCTGCTATTATTTCTTAGCAAGTTACCGTGTTACAATTTATGTATATAATTACTCCCTAGCACCTACAGATGGCGCCACCCTCTTCGGCAATGCTCTTAAATGGCTCTCAATCGGCGCGATCCAGAACTCCGGAAATTTCTTGTAAAATACTTCACAGTAAAAGTATAAATTCCTCTCGCAATGGAATTGCCAAAAAGTCCCAAACTGGAGAAGCTAATTAATTGTTCCGAGGCACGGGTTTAGGCTTGTCTCGTTTTTTATCAGAATTGAATCGCCCGGGCGCAGAGGGCAAAGTTTAAGACGATTCCTTCCAAGTCTCTGGCCATTAATTAACACGCCGTACGAAACCTACGTGAAGGAGAGGCCAAAGAACTCGAGAATTCATAAAGCGAGCTGGCCACGTGCATTCACGGCGATCGCAGACCCTTAAACTTGGGAATTTATTCGCCCACTCTTGCGGCCGAGTGAAATCGCCTTCGGCCGGTCTTCCCTTGCACTCGTTTTGCTCTGCGCCGCTTTGAAAGACGGCCCCGTCTTTCCTTGGAGAAGACGATGCCAATACGCGCCGCAAAAAGGCTTCCCTCACCTGACAAGGCCGATTTTTGGTTTAGAACTTATGCTAATGGAAGACCGCGACACCAGAAGGCGCATTTAGCTAATCCGCCTGGAGACGGTTATCGTTCAACTAACTCTTCTTCCACTTCCACTCGTCATTAAGAAATGCATTTTTCAGGCTCCTTCACCCGACGTTCCATGGATGCTGGCTGCAAGATTAAAATATTTTACATCAAGATTTAACCCAATAAGCACAAAATTGTGGAACGCTCATATTGTACACGTGAATGTAGTGGATATATAATGTAGGCGTGAAAATTATATATTAATTACTCACAGAGCTCTTTTTATACGTTAGGTATACTTTGGTTCAATCAATTTTCTTTTTTTTCTCAGGGTACTTCTAAACGTGTGCTCCACTGCCTCGGGTTCATTGGGAAGCTTAATCTAAAGGTGCTTTACATTTAACTTCTAATTGATTTCTGCTTAGACCCTGACAATACCATTTTCACTTATCTCGAGATATAACGATGATTAATATGCCGAGAATTATTTATCCCTTATAAATACTGTTTGCTAAATGAGGTATCTTCCGTTAAGCCGATTTGCAGGTACGCAGGAATTTTTGAGCGCTTAGACATTCAAGGAAATATATTCTCGGGCGCCATGTTTTTTGGAGACGAGCTCGAGGACAAGGTCTTCCTTCGGGAGAAGAAGAAGACCGAAAGTCTTAAGGAAGATCCGAGGGAACTTCTGGCAAGGTGTGAGCCTCGATGACACAGTAAACACTCGCTCGGTGTCTGAGCAATTACTGGACAAACCCGAGGCCCTGTTTGTCCTGACCGAAAAGTGCGGTACAACAATGCCGACTCTGAAGGACCGACCTGTAGAATGCAGAGAGTCCTTACAGGACTCTTCGGGAAAGGGTTCAAGGGCGTGAGTTTGCAAATTCGTCTAGCCGATTGGATCGACCGCAGCCGATCGTCGTAAAAAGTCTCTCTTTGATGCCACCGACTGTCTTGGATTGTTTCAAACATTTCGCGATGAATGGCTACCCTCTCCAGCTTCCGCCATTTTAGTTTTTTCTGGGTTTAAGAAGCTAAAAATTAAGTCAAGCACGCTGTGTCATAGTCACATAACACTGAAATAATGTGAACGAAAGTTATTCAAAGTATAGATTGACGATATATAACAGAATTATTCATGATTATTCGGTGGTACGGAATACTCGATTGCCGTGAAATAATTCTTTGGTGAATAACTTTTGCTTCATTGCTTAAGATATTGTGGCAGTCACGTCGAATGTTAAAGTAATCTGGGGCATTTATCCAAAGCGTTTAATTCGTTCGTGAGATTATTTCCTGGAATTAACGAAAGGATTCAATTTAAAAAAATTTGTTCGATGAATTAAATTTTCTATTTTTTTTTTTCTGCAGTAATGGTACATCGGTAGATATGACTGATTTTTTTTCTTCTAGGGATTGTGTGGCGCATCATTGGTGGATTTTACGCCAGCTTATCTTTAGTATCAAGACTGGATATGTCATATATTAGCGAAATATGTGTACGGAACACTCTCTGGACGTCCTTAAGGGATTGCCATGTGGGCATGTAAGCGTTTGCGAACGAATATTATCGACCACCCGCAACCGATCTGTTTACAAAGGTAACATATCCAACCCCGAATACGCACAGAATGCACCTCGTCGTGTTTTTACAGAGGCACGAGTCGGCATTCGAATACTAAACTGGGAAACTACAGGTGTACATGATGTTATGTATGTGAACCTTTTAGAAAGTTGAGCTTGCGCATTGAAAACCCGCCATTTGCCTCCATCGAGCCATTAAGGTGATATGAAAGGGACATTCTATATACACAAAGCGTGAAAATATTTATAAAACTTTTCTCCAAATTGCACCGAATCATTTGAAACATCAGCACGTGATGATAGAAGCCCTAAGCAAGAACGCGATGCCCGTGAGATTTCATTTTTCACAAAAAAAATGTCTTCTTGGTTCTAGTCTAGGATAAATAATAAGTTTCTCTTTTTTTTTTTAATAAAATTTCACGAGCATCGCGTTTTTCCTTACTCTTCATAATCACGTGCTGATGTTTCAGACGACTCGGTGCACTCAGTTTGGAGAAACGCGAGTAACTCGGATTTATTGAGTCCTGCGGATGGATAATTTGTAAATAATTTGCCTACATTGCAATAATTGCTATTCCCTATGGTATCTATTTATCAATAACGCATGTTTTAATGGCAGTTTGGAATAATCCTGTTAATAGGTCATTTCTTTGGAATAAAGGAGGAAGTTAACGGACCTCCGAGGAGGACCGCAGAAGGTGATATCCTACTTTCTCGTTAACAATGGCTCGTAAAGTGATAATCCACGATTGCCCACGGTGTTTACCCAGATTCAATCACAATGCCGCGTAATCAGGTGTAAGTTAACACGCGTTACTGAATAGCGTGCCAGCCAAGATCCTCACAAAGGATCGAGGCACTCCCAATCCTACGGGGATCGTTGTTGCCACCGTATTAATCCTTTGCATTGTTCATTGTGCAATACGCTTTGTGGTTTGCGCCTCAGAATTTCCCGTATTCGCGATGAGCGCCCACGCGAGTTGCCCACTTAGTTGGAAGGATATTTATTTCCGTCCCCATGAAAATGTGTAATGGCGCCAAATCAAATCGGATTAATCAGGGAGATCTTGATGTCGGTAACAATGCGTTTCGCGCCGTAGGGAAAATTATTTTAATCTTTATCCGAGTCAAAGTTCAAATGGATACTTAGGAGGGATGAAAACGAGGAGATATCCAGTTGGGATGAATTACGATTGCTTATCACGCTTCAGCCCTGATTCGTTACCGCTTTCTATGCCAGTATTTATGCCCCGTCGTTGCAATTTTTCCCATTAAACCGACATCGTCAACCAGGTGGAAATTTATAGCGCCATATAAATGTAGCATCATGATTACACTCTGACCTGTCGTCGCCTGCTGTGAGCAGAACGATCCCCCTTTTACTTTTTCTCTTTTGTCTAAACGGGATACCACGTAACGAGAGGTATCTATTTCCAAGTAAAAAGAGCTGAGGCCTTTCGGTTAACGTAATTCAATCCATGGATAATTTACCTTGAATTGAGATATTAAAATAAATAATAGATCTGAACCGCGACGGCTAATGGAATTACTTGAGGATTTCTTAAGGAATAATTGGGCTCGTTATTTCAGCCCGAGGCTTTATATTATGCAGATGTGCTTTTTCTGTATTTTTATAAACCTCGGCCTGGAAATTCTACATCCATTGTACCCCGGCAAACAATCGAGGTCCACCAGTTGGGTAGAAGTGAAAAAACGAAGTTTAGTTTGGAGTTAAACGGCACCGATCGGCTCCGTTAACAGGCATAAAAATTGAATTCAATGACTCTCGGTTGACGGAAAACATCGCCGACCGAGGAGACACTCTCTCGGGCCTTCTTGATGTCGGCATTCGTCCCCGAAGTTTCGTAATGGCCTCCGGTTACGAGGGTAAGCGCTTGTAATAACAGGTGATTCGGGACCCGAAGACACAATAGGTGTCGCACGAGCGAGTAAATGAAAGGGGCCACGTCTAAACATTTCTTTTACCTCGGTTTCGTAGGTATTCGGTCCGACAATATTATTTTACGGTCACCGCCTAGTGCCGGGGCCATTGGGGACATTTTAGGGATACCTGGGACTTGTCTAGGCACCGATGACACATTTCTCAAGAAATAATGTCAACCCGACACAGCGTTTATTTTATTATTTAACTCACACCACCGACTGCCGTAGCGTCGAGGACAATTTAGAGATACCTTAGAATGAATTAGACATAGATGTCTTGTCTTGTAAAATAAGTGGAAATTTAAAAATGAAAATGATTTTAATTCGATACCGTGCTTGTTTCATTATTTCAGGGTTATCATCGAGGGCCGGCGATATTGAGAATATTTCAGGGATATCCGAGACTCGGATAACCATCAATGACCCAGATGTCTCTCGAAAGATCAGCGTACATATCTCAGAGAAAGAATATTAATTCGATGCCCCGCTTATCAGCGATGGCTGGCGGATAATTTCCGCTGAAATCGAGGCGACGATTCCCATTCCTAGGACTACGCCAGGAGAATAAATTCTTACCCGGCTGAGAGAACTCCGCCATCGACGTAGAGATCTCAAAGTTTAGCTCGCCCGAGCCCCTTCGGTCACTTCTAAGAGAAGTTTCTACTCGGCTTGGGTGAACTTTAATTAAATTTCAGTGTCGTCCGATATCGCGATGGCATCCAATCTTCTCTGCCAGAAGCCGACGTCGACTTTCACTGCGTAAACCTCCGAG